AAATTTTTACTGACTCATGAAAAGTAAATATAGTGACACATTTTAGAAGAAATATTTCTGGAACTTTAGATCATAAATTTGATCATCATCGATACTCTTAGATAAGTATATTCCAGGAATTACCCTCGCTCTGTTTTCTCTACGACCCTGTTAACCCAAAACTTTGTTACATTAAAAAACATTTCCTATTTCATGTCACCCAAGGGTCCTCTTGCAAAACAAATGGCCTTGGTCTTCTGGTTTAAGATTTCCAATTGAAACTTCATCACTGAATTTCCTTTCCTTGAGCAAAATGTGTTATGTTGTTATTTTAAGTTAAAAAAAAATAGTGAGAAATTGAGCAACTTTGATCCGATAAACTTAAAACAGGCACATTGGAACAGTAAGACCGACTCCTTCTTTACCCGCAGAAACCATATGGGTGAAATTCTGAGAGTTCACACTAATAGCCCCAAATCTAGAAAGAAGTAAACTGATTGGGTATCACTGTGGGTTTTTTTTTTTTAAACCTTTTAACCAAATAGTAGAAGTAGTAGTTGATGAGAAGGATCAGGTAAAGAGTGGGGAAATTGATCAAGTGGCTGACCCTACCCAGAAATCAGAGTTTCTGTGATCTCTGAGGAAGGACACTTAAACAAAATCTCAGAGGTAAGTAGACTTTGGATATATTATTCTAATACTGAACATACTACCCACATCTGAGCCCCAGCATTTCTTCAGACTTCAGAGAAGGGGATAGAACATAAAATGCCAACTCTCACACTAAAACTAGGATGGAAAGATTAACTTGTCTTAGATACAGTGGAAAAAGAAAAATTCACACATACTTTGGGAATGTAATATCTGGAGAGCAATCTAACCACAGCAAGATGAAAGAAATGACATTGTAGCGCATGCAGATATCTATGGTGAAAAAAGTAAAAAGGAAAGAACACAGCATATAAAACTGACAAGAACTGATCATAGAGGAAAAGTAAACTTGAAAGCAGAAGATTTCTTCCAATTGCTTTGTGCTATGAATCAAAATAATGAGAATCTGAATTCAGAAAACAAGCTGAAAGACAAGAAGATGATAATAACAAAATGAGATGAAATGAGAGGTTACACATGTAAAGAAATACAAATAAATTATGTACAGCAAAACCTAGAATGAAAATTGAACTGCTGACACCTCAATACACATGATCCAGTGAATACAGATAAAGTTAATTAGAGGAAAGTAAAGATACATGGGAGACAGAACATCCAATATAATATAGATAATTTCTGTGACTGAAGAAAAGAACCTAACAGAACAGGTGGATTGAAATAGCACAAGATGTTTCAGGAAGAATTTTATAATTGTTCAGTGATAAGACCTAATTTGATCAAGTTATTGGGTGGGAAACCTCAGGTAGTTCTTTGCCTCCTTCTGGCTGAGATCATGTTCAATCTCCACAGAGCGTATCCTGTGGTCTTTGGATGGCTAGAAACTGTGATTGGAATACCAGGCCACTTTGAGGGGCAGAGTATGTGCCCTGTGGCAGGATGAGCATTGTGTTACCAGCCATCAGGGAGGAGTTTGTGAGAGAAATGGCTCTACCTTTATGGAAGACACCTATTTCTGAATTCCTGAGGTTTGTCTTTGCTTAACTGCATGTCTAGGTCTTAGAACTAGTTATTGAATATTCCTTTATCTTGGACTCTGCTCCCATAAGAAGGAGCATTTATTTAGTACATGGTGTTTCTTACATTTTATTGCATCAGCATTGTTCTTGTCTTATGTTTGCTTCTCTGTGTTGTAAAAAAAAAAAGAGTGAAAACTTGTTACGTGTCTTTTGGCAGTTCATCTAAACCAGATTATGGGGACCTGCCAGCACCTTAGTGTCTCTGACCAGCTCTTGGGCTGACATGTTGACTGAGGAAAAGTAACATGCATTAAGATACAGCTTGAGCACCTTCCATGTCACTTGAAAGAGACTTGGATTGGGTCATGTGGAGACTTGTTTCTGTGCTCTCACCATTTCCTTCTGTTTTTGTGCTCCTCTCTTTCAAACTTGAACATAAGATATATATGTGTTTTTCAGAAGTCATGCCAGTTCTCAGGAAACGCTTTGTAGATCGCCATAAAAGTTGCAGTAGTATGCAGTCCATTTTGTTAAAAACATTTACCCAGATGCGTTTAAATTATTTATACCATAAGTGAAGTATGGTACTGTGTCTTTAAAAAAGAAAGGGGGAAAAAAAACAGAGAAATGCATTGATTGATTGATTGAGAAAGGGAGGGAGGGAGAAAAGAAAGGAGCGGGTGAGAGAATGAGAATGATTAAGACTTCATAGACTTCCAAGCAGAAAAACAAACCAGTCAAGAGCGGAAAAAAATCAGACAGGCCTCAGACCTCCACTGGCAACATTCAGTACCAGCAGCATTCAGGGGAGCAGCATCAGCAAGGTGTGTGGGAAAGGATGGACCATGAGTATTATACACATTCACCTCTCAAGCTAACAAGCAGATATTCTTCAACATGAAAGAACTTAGGGGAAGGTGCACATAAGGGGCTCCAGTTGGAAAAGTCATTTGACAGTGAAATCTAGCCAATTAATAAAGACTCAAGAAGGAGAAGTTGTGGTAAGAGGAATGTGAGAAGATTAACCCAGCTAAAATGTAGATTCAGTACTATATAACTCTGAAATTATAGTTATAGAATGGAATGTTCATGATTTGAACCTGGACAATGTAAATATAACACAAATTGGGAGAAGAAATGGGAGGAAATATAGGTGCTACTGTTTTCAACTTTCAAAGCAGGAAATTAGTGGAGTCTGTCCAAAATTAAGTTATGTATTATTTTAAAATTAAATTGAATTTACTTTCTAAATAATTTTTCATGTATTTTTTAAAATTTGGAATATTAAAATACATAAAATAATAGCTGGTACTGATTTAAGTGTTATTCGTATTTAATGAATGTCACCATTTTATGTTTGCTTCAAATTATGTATAAAATATTTTAAGATAAAGGGAAGGGTTTAGAGAAAAATAATGAATGCTAATACATTTACCATTCAGGTTAGAAAATAAAACATTGCTAAAATAGTTAAGACCCCTGCCTGCCCCACGAAAATCCCAGAGACAATCAGTATCCTGAGAGTGTGGTGTCATTTGTTCACATACATGTCTTTAGATTTTGAATATGGGCTTCCCAGGTGGCGCAGTGGTAAAGAATCTGTCTGCTAATGCAGGAGACACAAGAGACTTAGGTTTGACCCCAGGGTCAGGAAGATCCCCTGGAATAGGAAATGGCAAGCCACTCCAGTATTCTTGCTTGGAAAATTCTATGGACAGAGGAGCCTGATGGGCTACAGTCCATGGGGTCCCAAAGAATCGAACACAACTGAGCACATAACACACAAATAGACTTTTGATATATATGAACATATTTAGCATTAATAAATTTTCTGCATTTAGTTTTTATAGAAACAGTATTCTCCAGTTTGCTTTTTTAGCTTAACATTGTTTCAAGATTTATATTAATAATACATTGCTTGAGCATATTTATTTTTATTCTATTATATAGATGTACTATAATTGATTAATCCATTTACTATTGATGGATACTTATTTCCCTTTTTGCTATTGTGATAAAATGTATCTTATTTACATACAATAATGTTTTTCATAGTTTAAAAAATTGTATTCAGGAAAACTTATAGAAAGTAAACATTTAAAATATAAAAATAGCATTGGTTCCACTTTGGTTTCTTTTTTCTGTTATATAGATTTAAAGTCAATACTTTATTAAAATTATCACCTATCTTATGATCCCCTATGTATAAATGTATATTATCCATCTATTCTTCTATATGTATCCATAAAAAATATCTGGAAGAAAGTTTACTTAATACTGTACATTTCTGGGTGACAGAATATGTGGTCATTTTGTATTTTAAAGGTATTTAAATGTATTCATACTATAATTGAAATGGTATAATGATATTCTAGTTTTCTCGAAAATATTGCTTTTTAAAGTAAATGGGGGGGAATGAATTGAAAGAGTAGCATTGAAACATATACATTACCATATTTAAGAAAGATAGCTGGTGGGAAGTTGCCATATAGCACAGGGACCTCAACCCAGTGCTATGTGACTACCTAGAAGGGTAGGATGGGCTGGTGAGTGGGAGGGAGGTTCAAGAGGGAGGGGATGTACATATACTTATGGCTGATTCATGTTGTTATATGGCAGAAACCAACACAACATTGTAAAGCGATTATCCACCAATAAAATTTTTTTAAAAAATATAAATTAGGCAAAGAAAAGGAAAGGCTAGGAATTTTTTTAAACCTAGTTGTCATCCCTTTTTCAGTATGTGTCTTTACTTTTATATGGGGCTTCCCTGATAGCTCCTGCCTGCAATGCAGGAGACCCTGGTTTGATTCCTGGGTCAAAAGATCCACTGGAGAAGGGATAGGCTACCCACTCCAGTATTCTTGGGCTTCCCTTGTGGCTCAGCTGGTTAAGAAGCCACCTGCAATGCAGGAGGCCTGGGTTCAATCCCTGGGCTGGGAAGATCCTTTGGAGAAGGGAAAGGCTACCCACTCCAGTATTCTGGCCTGGAGAATTCCATGGACTGTATAGTCCATGGGGTCTCAAAGAGTTGGACACCACTGAGTTGGACTTTCACTTATTTTTATATGGTTAAATGAAAGAAAAGTTATAGTAATGAAAGTCCCTTGACTATAATGCAACCTGCAAGTGATTAGTGTATAGAAGTTTTCAAGAAACACTAGAGCATTCAGTTGTTTTTCTTTTTCGTTCCCAGACAGTGTAGGCCCGCTGCCCCTTCCTGAGTTCTCAAATGCCTAATAGGCCCAGATACTAGGTTTGTTTGCTCAGGTACCCCCCCCACATCCATCATAGATTTAACGAACATCTCCAAAGTGGATTAGATTACAAATAAAGACTCCAAGATGTTCTGTTTCCTTGTTTGGGTGAAAATATGATCTGTTTGTTTTGTAGGTATGACCTTGCTTCTAGGGAGTGGCTTGCACTGAACCCTTCTGTGAACAGTGTGGTTGTTAGATATGGCCATTCTTTAGCATTATACCAGGTAAAATGTCTCTACTCTGCTAAGCTAGAAACTCAACTCTTCCATAGTTACTTTTATCATATTATGGGATTGATAGCTGTTTAATGTTGGATTTTTTTCCTAATCTTTTTTATTGTGGTAAACTATGCATAACAAAATTTACCATCTTAGCCATTTTTAAGTATACAGTTCAGTGATAGTAACTTCACTCATAATGTTGGAGTCATCATCACCATCCATCTTTGTAATTCTTTTGATCTTATGAAGTGCAGTTCCGTGCTCATTTAACAATAATTCCCCATTGCCTCCTCCCTCTTACCCCTGGTAACCCCCGTTCTACTTTCTCTGATTTTGATTTCATTGTTGGTTTTAATTAGGGGAAAACTTTAATATTTGAGGGGTATATAATTGGTTAAGTTAAAGTTGAATCTAACCTGAGAGATTTAAATGGATTCATAGTCAAACTGGGATATTATGAGTATGGTACTAAATGATTAATAATTAGTGTAGATTAGCTTTTACATTAATTAGCAGGTTTAGCCAAGAATTACAATGTAACTGAATAGTCATTTTCATTTCCCTGTTTTGTAGTTTACTTAAACTTTATTTTTCCAAATCATATTATAGCGTAAAAAATCTTGTATGAGGAAATCCAAGAAAAGTGGCCAAGTATTAGGGATAGAAGTTATGATTTATTTGTTCTTTCTCCATCCTTTTCCTAATAACTCACGGAAAGGTGCTTTTCACTAACACTTTTTAAGCTAAGAATAATATTGAGGTTTTGAACTGTACACTTTTCTGTGTGTAGAATGGATCCTTTTGATATTTTTTAGAATTTTGTTTACATTTTTTCCCCCCAGGATAAAATTTACATGTATGGAGGAAAAATTGATTCAACGGGGAATGTGACCAATGAGTTGAGAGTGTTTCATATTCATAATGAATCATGGGTGTTGTTGTCCCCCAAAGCAAAGGAACAGTATGCAGTGGTTGGGCACTCAGCCCACATTGTCACGTTGAAAACTGGCCGAGTGGTCATGCTGGTTATCTTTGGTCACTGCCCTCTCTATGGATATATAAGCAGTGTGCAGGAATATGACTTGGGTAGGTATATTTTTTCAGTGAATATTTTTTGAATGTCAAATTTGAAGTAGCATGTATTTGTTACTGTCAATTGGGCAGGGAGCCAAAGATGGCACTTAATGCTAACAGATTGAAGTTTGGCCACCTGGATTTGTATTAAGTTTTAGGTGGTCTTCCTTTAAAAATGATTAGAGAAAGTTATGTGTATCAAGTTTCATGAAATCTCTTTTCTCTTAAGCTAATTGGTAATTTTAAGTATTTGAGAGGAGGATCCTGCAACATTTGCCTTGAACTGTTTGCTCTTTCCAGGTAAGAACACGTGGAGTATATTACACACCCAGGGTGCCCTTGTCCAAGGTGGCTACGGCCATAGCAGTGTCTATGATGATAGGACCAAGGCTCTGTATATTCATGGAGGCTACAAGGCTTTCAGTGCCAATAAGTACCGGCTTGCAGATGATCTCTACAGATACGATGTGGACACCCAGATGTGGTGGGTGCTTTTTCTTGAGCTTTCACTTTAGGATGTGAATTATGTCAGTTGCTGGGAAAATTGTACTCCAGTTTTGTTTTCAAGCCTTTCTGAAACTTCTCTTCATCACTGTAAACAGAGAAATTGTGAAATAAGCAGAAGTGATAAGTAGTAGTATCTAGAAGTTGTGAAATAAGCAGTAGGTGATAAAGTAGTAGTATCTATAATTTTGTAGTAAGTTGATTAGAACCTTGTGTTTTGTTTTTTGTTTTTACTGTTTTTCCATTTCCATTCACTCAGTATCTGTACCACTGTAAAATTTTAGTTCTTCGGAGTCCTAAGGAATAAACTGTTCTACATAGCTGAGTTTATGCACACTATTGTAATTAAGTTTGCTTTTTAACCTTTTCTTGATGACCAAGATATTATCATTGGGGTCAATTATTGGCATCATTTCATGAAATCATCAAACAGAGATGGCCTCAGTACCCAAAAGTTTAGAGCTCTCCTCATTCTACTCTCTTTTGGTCTATATAAAGTATGCTAATCTTAATAAATATATGGCAGATTTGAGCTATGAAATAATTATAAAGCAATAGTTTCTTTGCTTTTTGCATTTCCTTACATATCTGAGACCACACTATGGATACATTGTATATTATCTATCATTAAAATTGTTATTTTTAGTGACTGTGTAATACTCCATCATGTGGGTATACTGAACCTACACAGTTGAAAGTTTTGGTTTCTAGCCCTTGTCTTATTCATAAAGATTGTATGTAAGCTTCCATCTATATTTCACATGATTTCTACTGAGAAACTATAATTACAGAGTGATAGGGTATGAATATTTTTAAGACTCAACATAGTTTATCAAAATTCTCCTACATCTTTTGATTTTACATGTTTATTGTTGAGAAAGTTGCTTATATACAGAGAAAAATGTAAAAGTATTTGCACATTTGGATCTGAAGTTAAGAAAATGGTTATGTTTGTATTAGCAAATAGATGCTAAACATTCTAAAGAACTAACCTTGTATTTATTATTTTTAAATAAACTCAAAAGGACCATTCTTAAGGACAGCCGATTTTTCCGTTACTTGCACACAGCTGTGATAGTGAGTGGAACCATGCTGGTATTTGGAGGAAACACACACAATGACACATCCATGAGCCATGGGGCCAAATGCTTCTCTTCAGATTTCATGGCTTATGACATTGGTAAGTTTCCCAGAGCCATTTTAGCTTCAAGAATCTTTTTTATCCATAACCAGCATTTAAAAAGAAACAGAAAATATCTGTAGTTAAAAGTGGTCAAGCTGTTTGAAAGAGGTCCAAACGGAGTTTTTTATGTTAATTTGACTGATCATAATATATTAAAAAGCATTACTTCTATATCAGATTCTTTTAAAGTCCCTCCTTTGATGGGTTGGGGTGATTGGGCTCTCCTGTGTTATAATTAAAAGCCTTATATAGTGTATTATGTAATTGTGACCACCAGCATTGTGTTACGTTGGTTTAAGTCTAGCTTTATTCATTCTCTTGAAACTGTTTTCACACATGCTTGATGTAATACTTGGACAGGCATGTTTTAAATATTTGGTGTGGTAATTGTATTGACCAGAAGAGGGCAATATTGGTTCATGCAAAACAAATAGTAGAAATTCTTTTGTGTAAATATCATCAGATATTCTTTTTTAACAGACATTTAAGTGCAAGCCACTGAGCTTGTACATTGAGGATTGTAAAGGGAATAAGTTGCAGTCCTTGGCCTCACGGTGGGGAAAGCAGAGAATCCAGCAGACAATATCACTGCAATTTAGGGTGTTATGTGCCTGAGAAGAACGTATGAGAGCACCTGTGAACACCCCTTAACTCTTAGGGATAAGGGTTGCAGTCAGGGAAAGTCGTCGTCTTCTTTTTAAATTGGGATATAATTGTTTTACAATGCTCTGTTGGTTTCTGCTGCACCACAGTGTGAATCAGCTAGATGTATACTTGTATCCCCTCCATCTTGAGCCTCCCTGGCCCCCTCATCCCACCCCTCTAGGTTATCGCAGAGCACTGGGCTGAGCTCTCTGTGCCACACGGCAGCTTTCCACTAGCTGTCTGGTTTACACATGGTAGGGAAAGCCTTCTTGAGAAGGGCCTTGCAAGCTGGGTCCTAAGAACACTGGGAAGTCAGCTGGACCAGATTAGGTAGGACTTCTCAGTCAAAGGAACCCCATGTGTAGAGACACAGAGGTGTTAAGAGACTATGATACATAACTTGGGGCCTCTGAATAGTTAGTACTGGCTGTATCCTAGCAGCACATCAGGGAAGAGTGGCTTTAAGCAGAATTAGAAGCAAGGAGCTGTGTGGTCAGAACTTGAGGGACTTGTTATGCTGAGGTGTTTATGCTTTTTGAAGAATCTTAAAGAAGAGGTAATAGACTTGTATTTGTGTCTGAGGGAGATCTCTTTGTGGCATTATGATGAGTAGTTGGGGAGGGGTAAGATATGTAACAAGGCTTTTGATAAAAGTCCTTAGGAGGGTTTGAGCCAAGGCTGTGGAAGTAACAGTGAGGATAAAGAGACAAATGGGTTTGAGAATGACTAGGAACCTGTGTTTTGAAAGCAGTGACAGCATCCTTTTCTGATATCTGGTGTAGGCCACAGTAGATGGTTTTTTTTTTTTTCCCCTCAAGGCTGAAACTAGAAGGACAGAGTCTGGGAAGAAGTGAGTAAATTGAATTTGAGGGCGTGTTCAACTGGAGATGACTGTGGGACAGAGAGGTACAGAAATCAGTGGGGAAAATGTAGGAGGGGCTGAACTTTCTATAGGGAGCATGTGTCATCAGGAACAAACAAAGAACCAAGGGATAGATCCATAAAGAAGCCTGAAAGAGAATGGAGACTGCGAAAGCATGTTGGAGAAGTAGAGGAAAGTGAGGCAGGACTGGGGACCTGTGAGGGAGCAGTTTCCAGTGGCTACAGAGGGATGAGGTAAAATAAGGACTGAAGAGTCTTTCAGATTTCACAACCAAGAGGTCATTTATTACCTTCTAGACACGGAGGAAAGATCCAGATTATAGAAAGCTGAGAAGTAATGCATGTTGAGATGGACACAGTCAGTGTTGACCATTTTCACTTAGAAACAGACAAAAAAACCCTTGTCTGTGAAGGCAAGAAAAGGGGTAAGTTGAGTGCCTCCTTGGGCATATTTAAATGCTGTGGTAAAAGTCAAGCAGGACAAGAGGAAGGGCTCCTACCACACTGGTTTTAGGGAAGGAAGCAGGAGGCTGTGGGAGTTGATGGCCTCTGTTCTGCATGTGAGGAACACCACAGAGTTTAGGCTGGGTAGGAGAAGTGAAAGCTTTTGTTGTCAAGGCTGAATAAATGTCTAGATTGAGTGTGAGTGTGAAAGTCTGCATGTCTGGGAGTAGGAGACAGTGAATCAGAGGTTGGTATGGTTCAGCAGCCCTGGTTGGTATTAAGGTCCAGAAGAGAAGTTGCTAGCTTGGATCAGAACAAAGGAAAATAAGTAGATCTGGGGGATCTAGGAAAGGACCTTTCAAAAATTAGATAAAGTTGGTTATTATTATTATTGTAGTTTTAATTTTCTACTTGTATTTTCCTTTTCTAGTTACTGAGTTTGGGCAAAGCAACATAGAGTGGAAAATCATTATGGAATTAAATGCTTTACTTATATAAGCTTTGAAAAATGTAAAATGTGATTAAGTTAGAAAACACTGTATTGGGTAATATTGATGGGCAATGGAGTGAGTGATAAGGATGTCATGGAAGTTGGGTATGTTCACTAATTAGATTTATTTATTGGATTTTGGTTGTGCTGAGTCTTCATTGCATTCATTAATTAGAATTGCTCTAGAGTCCTACCTTTTTTTCATGCCCTGCTGATCTGTTGCTGCTGAGTTTTAACTCAGAAATAATGGTGTGACTAAGAAAAATTGAGAGCTGTGTTTGTGTTTATTATAGTCTTCTTTCCCAAAGAAATGCCAATCTCCACTGATTATGAATAATGGTCCCTTCTGAAATGTGTTTTTCTTGCTCCTAGATTGTGACCGATGGTCAGTGCTTCCCAGACCTGATCTCCACCATGATGTCAACAGATTTGGCCACTCAGCGGTCTTATACAACAGGTAATTGAAGAAGTGCTTGCTCCTTTTCTCTTATGTTTAAAATGAAGTAAAATATGAAGTGATATTGAACTTACATATTATTTGCCGGATTACTTTACCCCATTAGTTTTTCACAGAATTGTGTTAGGTATGGATTTCCTGATTTATATTTAAAATATTTGATGTGGATTTGAATTACTTTTAATGCCGTGTTTGTTGATGTGGTTTTAGAAGTAAGCTGTCTTTGGTGTTGTCTGAGTGCATAGGACAATAAAAGTTGTATGCAGTTACTGTCTTATACCCTTTGCCATTTGCTATCATTTGTGGTGCTTAGGTTGTTGCATTTCTTGTCTTTTGTCTGAGTGGTGAAGAAAGATTTTTAAAAAGAGGGCACTTCAAAAAAAACTCAGTTATGGGAACAGAGATGGGAGATTCTGGTGCTTCATATAGATCAAGTCTGTGGCGGTTCATACAATTCAAGTCATTGTATTATCTGAAGTCTGTTTCATTGCATCATTTGGAAGTGTCTGGCCCAAACTCACAGAGCTCTTCATAAATCTGCCCCTGGAAAAGCATCTGTCTTATAAATGAGCTCCAAAGTGGCTATGTGACTTGTACCTTATTTTTATTTGTTAAAATATTCTAATCATGTTGTTAATTTTCTCATTTTTGTTTCTGTTTTGATTACTGTTGTTTACTTCATCTTTTAAAATTCTTGCCCTTATCAATCCTGAAACTACTTAAATGCTATAGAGCCTATGTATATTATGTTAGGATTCCCTTCGTTTTCAAATTTTCTTTTGTCATAATGCAAGTTAGATTGGATTATTATCTTGGATAATGTTGGATTATTATCTTCCCTTGGATGAGGGAAGATAAGAAAGCAGCCTATGACCTGAAACTACCACAACATTGTTAATTTGCTGTACCCCAATACAAAATGTTTTGCTGTTAAAATAATAAAAATTTAGAAAAATGAAAAAAAAGCAACCTATCTTGGAGATGTGAAGGAAGAGTAAAACGTAGACTCTGGAAAAAGGGACATCTTTCACAAAGTAAACACTTAGTTGAAACTTAGCAATAAATATGGTTTTACAGTAGAAACATTTGATAAGTACAGATTAAAGTGGAGGGATTTTTTTTTATTATAATTTGAGATGTTATATTAAATTATATGTATTGCCTCAGTAAGGAAAACCCTTTAAGTTTTCTAGTAAATGCCTGTTGATGCTTTTCATATGAAGAGCAGAGGGTCCATTTCGTTATCATATTACCTATGGGTGCCTGGCCTCAGCTCTTTTCATCTTGATTATGTTTTCCTAGCATAGGACTTGGCACGTAATAGAAATTTGCTACATGGCAGCTACTAGTACCATAATGATAATTAGCAAATAAGTGGATTTGCTAGCAAAATATTTGGAAGTTTTATATGAACTCAGAGAAGTTGACAGTTTACCATAAGATGTAGTTTAACCATGAATCAAAATTAGAAATGGCTTGCCTGAGTTATAATGTGTTTATTTTTTATAACCCCAGTTTATTTTTTATAATTATTTTTTATAATAAATATTATGTTACATTTTTTATAATCCCAGTTTATAATTTTTTTATAATTTTTTATAATCCCAGTGGAATTTTTGAGCCTAAATGTTTCTGTGTGTATGCACAGGGTTGGAGGGGGCAGGGCATGACAAGGGAGTCATGTAGGAAAAAAAACCATGGCTATTTTAATATTTTTTCAACACTTTTCTTACTGTAGTGTGGTTGATTCACAGTGTTGTGTTAATTTCCGCTGTAATGGTTAGTTTAATTTTGTGAAGTAAATTACCTAAGGAGAAACTTGGATTCACATGACATTCACATGCTTTGAATGATGGTTCCCTTAATTGAGCCTCAGCATGGGGCCAGCTGTGCTTCACTTAGTTGTTGTGCTTGTGGTTTTTGAAGGAGGCAGGAAGAAGCGTGGGCTGGGGGTATTGAGACTGCTGCAGATGCAGCTGTTCTTTCCAGTTCGTTGCTCCAAGCTTCTCTGAAGGACTCTGCCTACCCTCACATGGCTGATGTGACCAGAGGATTCAGGATTGCTAAGAATACCTGCTGTACTGGGTGGCAGATGGTGCTTATTTGGTTCAAGCAATAAATTGACTAGTTGAATCCAGACTAATAATGTGATACCAAGTAAGCTGATATGAAGTTAAAAATTAAACCTGGTGTTCATTTTTGGTTACTGAAATATGTCAGTTTTCAGATACAGTAAAAATGCAGCCACAGAATCTTTATGCTTTAGTTAGTCCTCTGTTGATTTGGGTAAAATTGAGACACAGTGAGAATGAATTGCTTGATACCTCATTGTGGGTTAGTACTAAACTTCCTGGCAGATTATAGCCTATCAGAGTTGGAAGAGAAATCATCTGTTCCACTGATGAGAATACAGCTTGCATTAAATTTCTATATGCACTCATCTCTTTCTGATTGGTCTGTGTTTTCATTACACAGTTTTGATTAAAGAGCCTTTATCTATGCTAGCAGCCAGAAAGAGTAGATAGGTTATTGTAACTGTTCTTAGTCACAGGCCATTGTGAAAGGTTGGAATTTGGGAGGTAAGGTTTAAGAGTGATCTTTGGGATCTTGAAAGTTAACTTTTTATAGAACTTTTGATATGTGAGGTTTGTCTAAAGATTTTTAAAAGTATATCATGCATTTGTTTATGTAGGTTTCCAGTAAACTCGTTTTCTCTTTTTTTTTTCTTTTAGAACCATGTATGTATTTGGTGGTTTTAATAGTCTCCTCCTCAGTGACATCCTAGTATTCACATCAGAACAGTGTGAAGCACACCAGAGTGAAGCTGCTTGTCTCGCAGCAGGACCTGGTGTCCGGTGTGTGTGGGACACAGGGTCATCGCAGTGTGTCTCCTGGGAGCTGGCACCTGAAGCACAAGAAAAGATAAAGTCAGAATGTTTTTCTAAAAGAAGTATGTTTTTTTTTCTCTTCTTGAAATGTAGTTAATTTGAAATCTCATTTTATCTCAATTGTGAAGTCACTTATCCTCCGTGAACTTTCAGTGTTCATTTTATTATCCAAAATTATTCCAGTAATAACATAGGCAAATGCTTTATGGATGTTTGAAAATTGGTTTGTAAGCATTTGTATAGTGGTGGGAACATGCCATGTCTGCTGTTTGCTAATGATGAAGAAAAAACATTTTTAACATTGCATAGACTTTGTATACCTACTCCAGAGGAAAAGGAAAGTGAAGTCACTCAGTCGTGTCGAACTCTTCGCAGCTCCATGGACTGTAGCCTGCCAGGCTCCTCCATCCATGGGATTTTCCGGGCAAGAATACTGGAGTGGGTTGTCATTTCCTTCTCCAGGGGATCTTCCCAACCCAGGGATTGAACCTGGGTCTTCCACATTGCAGGCAAACTCTTTACCATCTCAGCCACCAGGGAATCCCCTTTTTTACCAACTTCAGAACCTAGATGTTTATTTCTGCACTGTCCCCATATGTTAGCTACTAGCTACCTGTGATTACTTGGAATGAGACTGGTATGGCTGAAGAAATGAATTTTTATATTTTAATTAAATTTAAAAACTACACGTGTAGACTTCCCTGGTGATCCAGTGGATAAGACTCTGCTGTTCTGCAGCAGGGGACATGGGTTACATCTCTGATTTGGGAACTAAGATTCTGCATGCTGGGCAGCCAAAAAGAAATAAAAAATAAAAACAACACGTGGTTAGTGGCTACCATATTGAATTATGCAGTTCTGACATTAAGGATAAGATTAAGAGGACCAGTCCAGAAATGCTATGTTGAAGTAGCTTGTTCTAATAGATAGAAGTAGAGTTACTATCTTTGCAAAGTATTCTTTTCTAACCTCTCTAGTTGAGCACAGCAGTGATAGCAAGGCAGGCAGTTGCTGAAGATGAACAGTGATCCCTGCTTCTAGAACCATCCCTTGTATTGTCCAAGTTTTCTTCACTTTACCTGCTCAGCTTCTTATTACCCTTTTTTTCTGACATACAGCACAGGGCAATACAGTGAAGTCATATGTGAGAAAATCTTTTTAAAGTAAGAAAAATGTCTCTGCAAATTATTTTTTCACTTCAATTTATTTAAAGTATGTTGGCTGAGTTTCTTAACTATTAGGGTTACCATGGCCTAGTAGTTACCATGTGAGTTATGATGGGCAGAGGCAGCTTTCAACTCTCCTGGAATGTTCCAAATTAAACTGAACATAAATCCTCAGTAAGAATGTCCAGTCAACTTTCCAGGTTCATTGGTGGTCTGGTGAGTGCTGGAGAACCAAGATGACCAGAACTTTTTAGGGCTAGTCACTGTCTCCTAAAAGGGATAAAAGCAGTGAGGTAGTTATTTTTTAACCATAAGTTTAAAAGTTCAAATTAAATGTGCAGGTTTGTAGGAAATAGTATTTAATTCCCTTAGATGATTCATTATGAACTCATCTCCAGTGTCACCTTCCTGGTTCACTCTGCTTTCTGTGTGGGCCCAGGCTGTGGAGTGCTGACAAGGGCAGGAAGAACAGCCTCAGGAGTAGGTTGCTAGGATCTTTGTGAGGGTGCACCCTGCCTTTTCTTGTCCATGGATTCTACCATGTACCATGTCCATGAATGATTGAATAGATGAGGCAGAAGTTGTGCAGCTTCTCTTTCATTGCTGACCTTGACCCATCTAGGGTCACTAGGAAATCAACAGGTCTGTAGTAACCCAGAATTTCTTACATATATGTGTATTGCCTTTTTTGGGGTTCTATGTGCTGCCTGCTTCCTGCACCCAGAGCAGCTGTGCCTTTCTAGCTAGGAGGAATGGCTTGGTCTCCTATACTTCTTTGTTTGGCTCCTGGGCAGCTCTTGGTGTTCATTGAATTGCTAGTTGGTTTCTTTCTTGGGAAGAAAAGTCTTCAAAAAACCAGACCTATTTCCCTATTGTTGAATTATTCTATCTTTGTTTTTTACCTTCTGTGTACTTTTGTTGGGAGGGTGGAGTACAAAATGGCTTTTCTTCATATTGTTTACTTATTTCTAAATACTATTTAAACCTGAACACACCAATATGTTTTCCTGCCAGCTTCACTCCTCATTTTACTTTCAACCCTGGTTACTTATTTGTTGTTGTTTTTGTTTCAGTGTCTTATTGTGCTCAACATCAGCTATAAGGGACTGTGACTTTTCTGAAAAGCAGCTGTCACAGTTGATGAGTTTTCCTTCTCTTCACAGTTTTTGACCATGACAGATGTGACCAGCTCACGGATTGTTACAGCTGCACAGCCAACACCAATGGCTGCCAGTGGTGCAATGACCATTGTGTCCCTATGAACCACAGCTGCACAGAAGGCCAGGTCAGTTTCTCAGGGATTTCAGAGGATAGAAAAATCCCAAGTGGGGTTAGGTATAGATTTTAGTGTGTATGTTATAAATACTAGCCCAGAATTATTTTTGAAATCTTCAGTGTTGATTTGGATTTTACTGTTGAGTCAAGTTTCTTTAGTAAGAGATGCTCTATATCTCCAAATTCCAAAGGTTCTACTAGCCAGGAGGATTGATGTTTGTGTTTTAGAAGAAGGCAAGACTGTTACTCTGAGTATGCCCCAGTCCCTAGGCATGGCTGTGGCTAAGGGCTAGATTCTTGGCATGAAGTTACCAGTGCTAGGTTGGGGAGCAGTTTAGGACTTGAGACTGAAAGTGAGTCAGGTGTGTAGCTGCCAAAATAAATTGTGGAAATAATAGACTTTGCAGAATCTCCTTGTCTTACGTTATATTTTGACTCAGCCTAATTTATGCTTATCATTTATGATTTTTATTAGATTGTAAGGCAAAAAAAATATAGAATGACTCAACTTTTATAATTTTTGATGCTTTATAAGACATTCTTTGTCAGTCAGGAAAGCATCTCATAAAAGATAAAATTTTTATACTATTTAGGAGATGATTTAAAAAGCAGCAAGTTCAACATTCATATTTTACAGGTGCATAAGTTGAAACATGGTGTTTAAGAGAATGCACTCTTTCCTTGCCAGATCCTTTCATGTCCTTGAACATTTCACTATAATGTTTCCACTGCATTGCTGCTTCACCTACACCTTATTTGTTTATCTGTTTGTTTGTAGTTTGCGTCCTCAGTTAGACTTTGTTGTTTTTTAGTATCCTAGTTGCCCTTACCTTGAGTTCTCTCTGTGGATATAAGAGAAAAGCTTTTGTCCATTGTATTCTAGATCTCCATTTCCAAGTATGATTATTGCCCCAAGGATAACCCGATGTATTACTGTAACAAGAAGACCAGCTGCAGAAGCTGTGCCCTGGACCAGAACTGCCAGTGGGAGCCCCGGAATCAGGAGTGCATCGCCCTGCCCGGTAGGCATTGTAGAGGCACCTTGCTGTGGGTGGGTCCAGAGACTTCACACGCATCACTGTCAATACTGTGCGGCCCAGATTGAACCCAGCAAAAGGGGAGAACTCATTTTATCCATTCATCCCCCACTCCATTATTGTGGTGGTTATTTTTTAAAGCAGAAATATAGTTCTTAAGTATTTACTTCTCCCATCCTTTGAAAGCAAGTGAAGCGTCATCTGCTGCTGTGAAGAATTGAATCACAGCTGACTCCGTGTCCTTGAGCCTGCTCCGTTGCCCCCACCCCACTCTGTGGTTGTAACCTGGGAGTAGAAGGCAGCAGTCTCAGTGGCCAGTCTGCTGCGTACTTTGTGAAGTGTGTTTCTTATTGACCATTGGGATCAGGCTGTCAGCACCTTCTGACAAGAAGGAAAGGAGAGATGCCCTTGTCAGCAGCACTTCCTGAAATGACCCCAGCCCCAGATAGCTCAATTTATAGCACTTCTGAGGTTCAGGATGATGAGTTGGGAGCCTGAAGCCAACCAACCATGGCTGAAACTCTGTGGTATATTTGCCCAGGAAGTCCAGGAGGTGGTCTGCTGTGGCTCTGTACAATAGAAGTACAGGGTAACTGGGCTCTACTGAGCCTCTCTTGAATGTCCTTTGGAAGTACTTCATTCAGCTTGCTGGAGTGGACTCCTTGTTCTTTACCTCATTACATCACAAACTTGAGTGCACAGCAAAGTACCTGGGGGTCTTGCTAAAAGCCAGAATCTGGCACAGATGTGTGGTGGGGCCCTAGAATCTGCATTTCAGCAAGCAGTGACACTGATGCCACACTCTAAGGAGCTAGTCTTTATCTGCTCTTAAGTGATCCCTCTCCCGTGACTCTCTCTTCATCTCACTGGCTGCTGATGAACATTGTTGAGGGTATCTCCAGGGTACTTTTGTTCTAATGGAGTTGCTTTGCTCGTGCCCTGTCTTCCAGGAAACATGTATAACTTCTGAGCAGCTCTTTTTGTGGGTTCAGGGAGGTCACAAGAGCAGATACAAATTTCCCTGGTTTGGCTTGCTTCCCCAAAAGGCTCCTTCCATCTCGCTTTTGGGATGTTTTGTGTAACTTGAGTTTACCTTCCACTTGATGTGAAAACAGTGTGTCTTTTGTAGACTTGTTCACTCACCAACTCACTTCTGTCCTTGAAGGTTTCTACCCCATCTTTTCAGTAAGCATACTCATTTTTCTACTTTTTACTTAGGATTTTAGTTTTGTTTCTAATTGTTCTTCAAAAGATGGTTTATAGATTTAACACTGTCGTCAAACAAATGTTTTTCTCTAAGACATGGGAAGATTGACCTCAGCATATGCACTTGAGGTCCAGGAAATAAGACTGATAAACATTTTAAAAATTCTTTTTATTCTGTATTTGATCCTTGGTAATGTGTCTGATACACTCACCACATCCAAATGAAGTATCTAGAATTGAACTCAAAAGTATTATTTAGATTTCCAATGGTTCAAAGTGGTAATATAAGTAGTTTTATGTGATTTCTAAACCTCTTTGTTTTCTCTCCCCTCTTTAATAAAGAAAATATCTGTGGCATTGGCTGGCATTTGGTTGGAAACTCATGTTTGAAAATTACTACTGCCAAGGAGACTTATGACAATGCAAAATTGTCCTGCAGGAACCACAATGCCTTTTTGGCTTCTCTTACAACTCAGAAGAAGGTAGAATTTGTCCTTAAGCAGCTGCGAATCATGCAGTCGTCACAGAGCCTGGTGAGTTAAAATCCTTGGAAGTTTCTAGTATCTACCTTTCTACAAATAGCATAACTGCAGCTTACCTGTGATGTGCTTGGCAGGAGGAGGAATGCTAGTAAATGCAGTGTGATAGACTGTCAAATTCTCTTCCTTTAATATTATATATTCTTTTTTATCTTGAAATTTCCAACACATTTTTATTAGTCATATTTCATTAAATTACATATCAATAATTATGTGTATATTAAATAGTAACATGTTGACATATGCACATATCCTGTTATATCTGTAGATTATTTCATATCTATTTGATCCCTAGATTCTGCTGGGATGGGGGAGGCGGGTGCCATTATTAATTAGCTTAGTTGAATTAAGCCAGGTTTCAGGCATTATTACAGTGTATAATATGATTTAATGTTAATTATCCTAAAAAATGGACATCTGTGGGTCTTTGTTAGATCTGGTCAGCCCAAAAGGAGAGGGCATCTTCTTATTAAGAGTTTCTAAGCACAGAAAGGCCCCAAGTTCTCTTCCTGTCCATCCACTGCTCTTGGGCAGCTTATAGTTGATATACAGCAATGACGTTTTGTGTTCCAGAGCCCTGGAACAGTGGTCCCACCCTCAGTTAACTGATACTCACAAGACAGTGCTCTTTCAACAATTCGTAGTCTTGTGATCAGATTGACGGTTGAGAGACAACTAAAGTAATGTGCTTCCACAGCTATAAATCTAGACTTAGAGCCCTGGTTTGTTTGGAAAAATAAGAACCTTTAGGACAGAGGCAGGCTGACAGACAGAAAGAGGTAACTCCTGAAGACAGAAGGAATGAGCTGGACTCTGTGCATTGATCAAAGATACAGAGATTGAGGGGTGAGCTGCAGGTAAGTTTGCATAACTGGTGCAGACTGAATGGGAAGGAATTGCCGTAGCTGGGCCTTTTGAGAGATCAGTACCAAACCCTATAAGTAAATAAATATCACTCACTACAACTAAAAGTAACAACTTTTGGGTGGTGGTGTTGTTGCTGCTTTTAAAATCTCTTAATAAGCATTTTCCCTGGAGAAGGAAATGGCAACCCACTCTAGTCTTCTTGCCTGGAAAATCCCATGGACAAAGGAGCCTGGTGGGCTGCAGTTCATGGGGTTGCAAAGAGTTTGACATGACTGAGTGACTGAGCACACAATATTCATGTTTATTTTTTCCTCCCCAGAATGGAAATACTCTACATTTTGTTTTTGTAACTGACAAAATTTAAAATATCTTTTATTTCTGGGCTAAACTTTGTGCAAAAATTTTTTTTAAACTGCAACAAGAAGGACATTTCAGTAGAGCAAGAGACAGACTTTCCTAGGAATGAATTCCCAGGAATTCATTGACCTGTTATTCCCTATAAAATTTATTGACGGCCAATACGCTCTGCCTCCCCAGCTGAACATGGGAATCTTCAATCATCTAACCTAGCCAGAGTTCCCAAAACAGCCTTAGATAACAGTAGGCATATAACCAATGTTTCATACATACTGATATGGTATTTCATGTATAAATAGACATTTCAACCAGCTTGGGGGTGGCTATCTCTTCATAGCATTTGTCATAGAATATAGAAATTTAGGAACTTGATTATTACTTTGCTGTTAATCTATGTGGAAATTTTGATGTCTTCTCTGACATCTTTCTTTGATGTCTTTTCTGTCCTTTGTAAAATGGCCATATTAAAGTGCCAGAAATGATAAGTAACATAAAAACAAAGGTTTGCACTAATCCACAATGACTGATTTGGAATAAGGAGGTTTTCCTGTGTCCTTTGGATACATGTAACTTAATAGTTTTTATCTAGAAGCTAGTTTTGGTCAAGATATTGATTATTTTCATAGCTGTGTCTGTTTTGCTTACAGTCCAAGCTCACCTTAACCCCATGGGTTGGCCTTCGGAAGATCAATGTGTCCTATTGGTGCTGGGAAGATATGTCCCCGTTCACAAATAGTTCACTACAGTGGATGCCATCTGAGCCCAGTGATGCTGGATTCTGTGGGATCTTGTCAGAACCCAGTACTCGGGGCTTAAAGGCTGCAACCTGCATCAATCCACTCAATGGTAGTGTCTGTGAAAGGCCTGGTAAGTATATGGTTGCATTATGCATTATAGGACATTCACTGGAAGAGAAATTGTAGGAGGCATAATTAAGTGTTGTGAAATTTTCATGAAAAGACAGGTGGAGTATTGATTTCAAGCATATGAAGCAGAGGATAATGCCAAATTTTTAAAGAAGAAGGAACTAGCATGAGCTAGGAACAAAACGAAAATTAACTAGCATTCTCCTGGTGGCTCAGTAATAAAGAATCTGCCTGCAGTGCAGGAGATGCAAGTTTGATCCCTGGATCAGGAAGATACCCTGGAGAGGAAATGGCAACCCACTCCGGTATTCTTGCCTGGAAAATCCCATGGACAGAAGAACTCTGTACATGGGATCGCAAGAGTCATACACAATTTAATAACTAAACAACAATATTCTAACTAGAATATTGTTATTTAACAATGAAATTGATTGGTTTGTTGACCACTAAAAACATTGAGAATTGATCTAAAAAGCAAATTTCTAAGTGTTGGCAGAGAAATGCTGTGGAAGATAGAACAAAAAATCCAAAGAAAAAATCAGAAAAGCAAGCAGATCACTGTGGGGATACTGAACAGAAAGATAGTGTCAGTAGGGAGAAAAATAATTGGTATAGTCCTGTGGGTCAAGAGGCAACAGAACCAGACATGAAACAACTAATTAGTTCAAAATTCAGAAAGGAGTACAACAAGGCTATATGTTGTATCCTACTTATATAACTTATATGCAGAGTACATCATTTGAAATGACAGGCTGGATGAATCACAAGCTGGAATCAAGATTGCCAGGAGAAATATTGACAAGCTTAGATATGCAGATGATACCACTCTAATGGCAGAAAGTGAAGAGGAACTAAAGAGCCTCTTGATGAGAGTGAAAAAGCTGGCTTAAAATTCAGCATTAAAAAAACTAAGATCATGGCGTCTGGTCCCATCACTTTATGGCAAATAGAAGGGGAAAAAGTGGAAGCAGAGACAGATTTTATTTTCTTGGGCTCCAGATTCACTTTGAACAACTTTGACTGCAGCCATGAAATTAGAAGACACTTGCTCCTAAGAAAGAAAGCAATGACAAACCTAGACAGTGTATTAAAAAAAGCAGAGACATCATTTTGCCAACAATGGTCCATATAGTCAAAGCTATGGTTTTTCCAGTAGTCATATACAGATGTGAGAGTTGGTCCATAAAGAAGGCTGAGTGCCAAAGACCTGATGCTTTTTAACTGCAGTGCTAGAGAAGACTCTTGAGAGTCCCTTGGACAGCAAGGATACAAAAGCAGTCAATCCTAAAGGAAATAAATCCTGAATATTCGTTGGAAGGACTGATGCTGAAGCTAAAGCTCCAGTACTTTGGTCACCTGATGCAAAGAGCCGACTCATTGAAAAAGACCCTCATGCTGGGAAAGATTGAGGGTAGGAGAAGAGGGTGCTAGAGGATGAGATGGTTAGATAGCATCATCGACTCAATGGACATGAATTTGAGCAAACTGCACGAAATAGTGAAAGACAGGAAAGCCTGATGTGCTGCAGTCCATAGAGTAACAGAGTCAGATAAGACTTAGCAGCTGAACAACAACAGGAAGGGAAAGCAAACATTCAGCGCAATAACGCTGCAGGAGAGTGCTGAAGGAGCCTACACTTGGAGTTGCTTCACAGGCTTGACGTTTTACTCTAGGCACATCTCAGTTTCATAAAGACAGGCACGGGGTGGCATGTGCAGCACACAGACAAGCCCTTGACCATTTTCCTTCTCCTGCAGGGGGTCTCACAGGCAGTAGTTGGAATTTTGTGGATGCTTTTGGAAGGCTGGACTCCATTGACATTATGTCTCATTTTAGGAAGGTATTATAATTTGTCTGAGGAATGCAGGAATGTGGAAGAGAATTCAGATCACTGTGGAGTCACATTCAGTAGTTCAGTTCATTTCAGTCGCTCAGTCGTGTCCAACTCTTTGCGACCCCATGAATCGCAGCACACCAGGCCTCCCTGTCCATCACAAACTCCCGGGGTATACTCAAACTCATGTCCATCGAGTCGGTGATGCCATCCAGCCATCTCATCCTCTGTCGTCCTCTTCTCCTCCTGCCCCCAATCCCTCCCAGCATCAGGGTCTTTTCCAATGAGTCAGCTCTTTGCATGAGGTGGCCAAAGTATTGGAGTTTCAGTTTCAGCATCAGTCCTTCCAATGAACACCCAGGACTGATCTCCTTTAGGATGGACTGGTTGGATCTCCTTGCAGTCCAAGGGACTCTCAAGAGTCTTCTCCAACACCACAGTTCAAAAGCATCAATTTTTAGGCTCTCAGCTTTCTTCACAGTCCAACTCTCACATCCGTACATGACCACTGGAGTCACATTAATATTTATTATTTAACCTTCCTGTAGGGAAACTTTTCAGCCTTTTTGGATCCTGGGTGCTTTGGTAAAGTTAATGAATGTTGTGGTTCTTCTTTCCCTAGAATATACAGAGATATAATGTTGCATATTCAGATGGGTTGTAAAACTTGTGAAGTTCATCTTGGGTCTCTTATATTAGAACCCCTACTCTTATGGAAAAATTAGCTTGTTCCCTCATATCTGTCCTTCTTTTTGAAAATAAAAACAGTTTTTCCCCCCAAGTGTATAAATATACATGACTAACCAGTACATGATGACCTAAGACTTTGTGTTTTCTTCTACGTTTAGTGTAACCCACTGAATTGACTTCATGATGCATTAGTGGGTCACAACCCACACTGCAAAGCCTTTGACCTTAGCTGACATGGTGGGAGCTTTTAAGTGTCTCTCTTGGGTTTACTTCCCAGCTAACCACAGCGCCAAGCAGTGCCGGACCCCTTGTGCCTTGCGGACAGCCTGTGGGGAGTGTACCAGTGGCAGCTCGGAGTGCATGTGGTGCAGCAACATGAAGCAGTGCGTGGACTCCAATGCCTACGTGGCCTCCTTCCCTTTTGGCCAGTGTATGGAGTGGTATACCATGAGCAGCTGCCCCCGTGAGTGAAAAGTGAGCTCTAAGCAGTGTGGGCGACAATACTGTGTGTAGGGCAGTGCTGTCAGCCTCTGAACTTCCTAGGGATGAAACCAGACTTGACCATCTGCTCAGGTCTATCCAGAGACTGCCTGATATGAACCCACATATAGAATCAAATACAGTGACACAAGTAAACAATTATAGAATAGATCACAGAGTATAGAAATAACTTGCTGAGTCTCAGTATCATATTGCCCAAACTATGGAATGTCTCCACATCTTCATCTCCTGATTCATAAAGTAAGTGCTTTCCAGGAGATGGTCTCTAGATTCTCTTCTGCCTCCAATATCCTAGGATTGCGAGAGAAGAGAGGAGTCTCTATTATAGGTTGGACAAAATATTGGGCTCTTTAAAATTTTATTATATCATTTGAACAATCACAGTAGAATAGGAATTTTGACTAACGTTGAATCATCTGTTAACGAAGACAATTTAAATATACAATGAATTTAAGTCTACATGTAATAGTAAATTGTAGCTTCTGTTTCTTTACAGCTGAAAATTGTTCAGGCTACTGTACCTGTAGTCACTGCTTGGAGCAACCAGGCTGTGGCTGGTGCACTGATCCTAGCAATACGGGCAAAGGGAAGTGCCTAGAGGGCTCCTATAAAGGACCAGTGAAGATGCCCTCTCAGGGCCCCACAGGAAACTCCTACCCACAGCCTCTTCTCAATTCCAGCATGTGTCTGGAGGACAGCAGATATAACTGGTCTTTCATTCATTGTCCAGGTAAGATGTGTTCTGTGTCCCAAATCTCACTGCTGCTGCTGCTGAGTCGCTTCAGTTGTGTCTGACTCTGTGCGACCCCACAGACGGCAGCCCACCAGGCTCCTCTGTCCCTGGGATTCTCCAGGCAAGAATACTGGAGTGGGTTGCCATTTCCTTCTCCAGGGCATGCATGCATGCTAAGTCGCTTCAGT